GAGAGGAGAACGCTTAAAGTGACCTACAATACGACGACAAAGACTTAAAGTTTCAGAAACAGACCTTTGAGAAAATACAGCATCGTGTATAACTAATTGTAGGGTGTGGGCGAAGCAACCTAAGTCTGAGTAACCACCATCTCTAAATGCTTTCACCATGTTTGACGCATTGTCTCGTACAACAAGGTGAACAGATGTCTTCTCTATATTCCAGTTCTCCAACATCGTATTGAATGTATTACAAATATTTTCTCCTGTGTGTGACTCAGGAAAAGATTGTACATGCAACACTGCTTCTTTCTTCACGAAACAGTCATTTATCCAGTGAGCTGTAAGACTAATCATTGAGTCATCACTTACTTCAGTACTCCAAATATCTGTCGTGAAACTAAATGAGGGTGCACTGGCTATTTCCTGTTTCAGTTTCGACACTATACCTTGGTGTATGCGAGTCAAAACTGTATCAGTAAAGTACCGTCTGCTTGGTAAGGTATACCTGGGTTCTAATGTGTGAAGAAGAGATTTAAATCCTTCATCAGACACAACAGGAAACGGCTGGAAATCAAGTGCGATCATTTCTCCAATCTTTTGATGAACACGAACAGATCTTTTATCGTTTATATCCCACGGTCGAGCACGGTTATAACTTTCTTGTAGCGTTACTTGCTTACTTGTTCCAGCACCAGAAGGACCAGCAGCTGTCATTTCACATTCTTCATCAAACCGCTTCTTCTTTTCAAGATAATCAGAGTAAAGTAACGAGTGTTTCTTTAAATGTATCACCAAATTAGACGTATTATAGGTCTTCGTTGTTTTTCCGCCACGCGAAACGTTTTCAGAACAGTCTTTACAGCGAGCAAACCTCGTGTCTTCACACTCCACAAAGAACTGCCAAATAGGTGACCTTTTCCTCGTCGCCATTTTGTACACATGTTGCCACATGTTGTGCGCATGCGCCAATATAAAACCACGTGTGTATCGGTTGCCAAAAAAGCTCTCATTCTATCAGATGCTGATATCAGCTATTTTTTCTAATTATCGGCCGATAGTGATAACCGATCCGATATC